TGCTTGCTCTTGCCTTAGTCTACCGTTTGACGCAAAAGTGAACATGGGGCTCATGCTCACTCCTGGTTACTAAGTATTCCAAAGCAGCGGAGCAAAATTTTTTTTTTTTTTTTTTTGAACAGTTTTTTTTTTTTTTTTTTTTTTTTTTTTTAAACAGCAACACAACTAGACATTAAGAGCTCAAGCTCTCCCTGCCCCCAAACTCAAAATGAGCATTGTCCTCAATGATGCAAGAAGAGCAAGAAAAGAGCAACAAAACTTCAATCAACCACCACCTTACCTCCCACACGAACATTTTACATTAATCCCAAAATGTTGTTATGCATAGGGACAATGGGTAGAAGGTGGGAATGTTGCTGCAACAGCTAGGCCAAAGATAAGGGTTACAAGGAAAAGGGGATATATAAGTTCAATGGGGAATGCTAGGGATATGTTGAATTAAGGTCAGCTACAAAGCTCAAACGGTCCAAAGATAGCCTAAATCATTTCCTTGGTAAAGTGTTAATTTGAGATTTCGCCTTAAGAGTACATCAAGCAAGTTCTAGAGCTTATAAATGGTTTATTTGAAAATGAAGCACATGCACAAGATCTTACCCTAAGTAAGCACCGAATCAATAACACAAGGTAGCGTGAATAATGGGAAGAAAAATCACAAGCCAAGATAAAAGCAATCAAAAGAATCAAAAAAATCAACACAAGGTGATATCAAGTTTTTCTAAAGGCTGCACCTAACCTTATCAATATTCATCATAAGTTCAAGAGAATTCACCACTAAAAGACACCAAACATCAAGAAAACACAAGACACTTTTTTTTTTCTTCAAAAGAAACAAAGACAAACAAAGACAAACAAGTGTTTCCCCCAAACTCATTAAGCATAAAATCCTCAATATGTAAGCAATCAAGAGCATAAAGAAAAGTTTCAAGGAAACTCCCCTCGTTGGTGATTGGGCATGATGGCACGTTAGCTCCCTTGAAGTGTAAATCCTCCTAGTCCCTTCCATTGCTCCAAGGCTTGACCCTACAAGAGAAAAACACCAAAGTAAAGTAAAAAGTTCCTAGAAAATTCAAAATTAACACACAAAAGACTCAAATAACCACAAGAAAAAGATTAGAGAAATTGGGTTGCCTCCTAGCCGGACGTTTGGAGAAGAGCTCATCAAAGAGCGGCTTCCACCCATAGTAAGTGTCATAAAACACTACAAATGGGTCTTGGTTGTGGATGCCCTCAAGCTTGGCAAGATGTGGAAATATGTGGTACGTAAGTTCAACTTGGCTTGATTTCGGAGCATGTACATGATGGACACCAAGAGACGATGTTAATGCTCACGGAGGAGTTGGCGGCCACATTGGATCTTCGTACATATACTCTTGCATGACCGGTGGCACATTAATGGCTGATTTTTCATTTTGTTGTTCTGCCTTGCATTACTGCAGCATTACTGTAGCATCCTGTTCCGCAGCAAAAATTTTCAGCTTTAAGTCTCCCACTTCATCTTCGTTGCTCTCTTCTTCGCGGATCAAAGGGGGCTCTTGTTGTTGTTTAGGCTCATCCATAGGCATGTCAAATTCTTTCCCACTCCTCAAAGTGGTTGCTTCACCATGGTCCTTGCCTTCTTTCCTAGGATTCTCCATGTCATTTAGAAATGAACCTTGAGGACGATTGTTTAATACATTAACTATTTGTCCTACTTGATTCTCCAAACTCCTCAACAAAGTTTCTTGGCTTTGAAGGATGGCATCATTCGTAGCTATAGCATCCCTCAACAAGCTCTCAATGGAACTTGAGTTTTCATGAGGGTAGGTGTCAAAACTTGGCTCCACATTGTTTGTAATTGTCCTCCCAACCATGGTTGGTCATTGAGCAATCCCAATTCCACTTGTCATACTCCGCCATGTCTTCCAACATCCAATAGGCCTCATCCATAAATAGTTGGTAGAAAGTGGTGGTACCATCTCCCCTTTCCACCCAATTTCTTGTCGTGGCACATAACCCATTGAGAAAGACTTCAAGTTGACACTCTTTGGAGAAACCATCAGATGAGAACCTCATTAACAAAGCCTTGTATCTCCACCATGTGCTATGTAAAGGTTCCAAGTCATGTTGAACAAAATTCAAGAGGACTTGCTGATGTGACATCTCAAGTACCTCGCAAGAAAAACAAAGCTCAAAAACAAAAGTAAGAACAAAAGAAACTAAAAGCAAAAAAGAGTAAGAAAGTAACCAAATAATTCATAGAGCTAAATGATATCAATATCAACTAATACTAAACGCCAATCCCCGGCAACGGCGCCAAAAACTTGTTGCGTGATAATTATGCTCGCAAGTGCACGTGTCGCTAACAAGTAATAAAGTGTACAAGAGTACGAATATCGATCCCACGAGGATTGTGTTTAGCTTTCTTTAAATACCAATATTGATTAGCTTCTAGGATTGTTTTTTTTTTTATATATTTGTATAACAATAACAACAATGTAATTATGGGATGTAATTCAATGGTGAAAATGAGCTAGGTCTGCTAACTTCCCCTCAATTGCAAGTCTGACTAAAATGTTACCTAGAATGCTGCAGCATTCACTACCCCTGTTAACAGAAACTCCGTTCTTGCATAAAATTCTTCCGAATTAATTATGACTAAGGTTCCTTAAACTATTTTCAGTATATTCCTATGTGAATCCAGCTTCTAGAATGCAGATTTAAACTCAGGTTTCTTTAAGTTATGCAAGGTGAATAATATATTCCTATATCATCCACTAATCAACAACTAAGCAAGGTTATTGAACAAGCATCACTCATGTTAGATCCGATTAAAACTAACCCTTCCAGTATTAATCTTAATCTTGTATCCTAAAATTGATGGCCAGTCAAGAATAGAAATAGGCATTAATACACATGAATGAACCGGAATAGCAAATTAATAACACCTCAGAAACACATTGTCAACCTTGCAATCTTAGTTCCATTAGCAAACCTAGCTAAAACAAATTAGTTCATAATGAGATTAATAGAATTCAAAGCTCCAGAATAAGCCATGGCTAAATTAGTAACTAAATACCAAAAGAGAATTAAGCTAACAGAAAGAAGAAAGAATTTCAGCTGGATTTGGGATTCCTCTTTGTCCAGCCTTGCTTCCTTCAACCTCCTGCCTTCTTCCCTTCTCTCGCGTCTCTATATTCTCTTTTCTGGAGATAGGTACTCTATGTTTTCTGGATAGGGGTGCTCTCTGTATTTCCTCTGTGTGTCCAGCCCCAGAATATCTCTTTTTCTATTTCTTCTCTCTCCTCTTTCTTTCCCCCTGGCGGCTGCCAACTTATCTTAAGAAAACATTCCCTTCTAGGGCAACACAAAGGCTGAGGTGTCACTGATGATGTGCACAGTGGACTCAAATGACACCTGTTCAGCCAGCTCACACGGATTACTTTTTGTCTGCTTTCTCCAACTAATGTGTTGTCAATTAGCTGCCAGCTATTCCCAGAATGTTGCCCAGAATGCTGCAGCATTTTAGCCCAGCAATTTCCTGCAAGGTACTCACACAGCATTAGCCAATTTTTCACCTCATTTTACTTCCAAATTACCAACTTTCACTCCAAGACGTGTAGCAATATGGAATTAGGCCAAAGTAAGTGCAACTCTACAAATCTAACTTAAAACATACAATAAACAAGAACAATCACTCATGGACACGCAATTTTAGGCTATAAAACCAGTGGATAACTCTAATTTCTTAGAGTTATCAGTGGCATTGTGCAGCTTTCACCGGCAACGCGAGAAGAGAGAGAGCAGCGAGAACAAGAGAGATCGCCATAAGAGAGATGGAGAGTGCTCAAAGGAGAGAGATAAGTGGGTGGGAAACAGAGAGAGATAGAGAGAGAAAGCTAATAATATGCTATAATTTTTTATCATTTAAAAAATATGTTATTCACTTTAAATATAGGTATAAAATATGCTATATGGTGCATTTTCCCATAAATTCTTCATCCCATGAATCTTAAAAGACATGCATGTTTTAACCTTTTGGAACCACGTCCATTTGCATAGTTTTTCTTATCATTGAATTTTGTAATCTAAAGGTTTTAGTTAATTAGGACTTAAAAGTCTCACAGCAGGAACTAGATTCTAGAATGAGTTCTTCGATTAATGCCGGCTAGTTTTGATATAAGATTGGTGCAACCATTCCTCCTAAAAGTTACAATTAATGGGAGAGGCACAATGAAATTCTTTAAACGCTACTCAGGACTAGACTTGGGAATCCACCCCAAGCATTACATGTTTAGACCCTTACTTCGAGAAGTCCCTTACGAATCTATGGGCACATTCTAGGCACTTCGTCAAGGCCCAGACCACATAGGTCGCCTCCTAAGTTCGAGTATGCTCCTGTATCGTTCTCCCCTCCTTAGAAAAATGCCCCTTTCAGAGCGCACCCATGGAGACTTGAACATAGGACCTCCTGCTTTGATACCAACTGATATAGGATTAATGCAATCATTCCTCCCAAACGTTGCAACTGATGGGAGATATACAATCAAATCCTTTAAACATCACCTAGGACTAGACTCCAAGATCCACCCACAACACTACTCGGTTGGGCCCGTACTTTAAGAAGTTCTTTACAAATTTGTAAGCGCACTCAACAGACAAGCCCAATCAATTTTTTGAAGTTCAGAGCACATAAGCCGCTGCTCAAGTTCAAGTATGCTCCTCAAGTTCTTTCACGTGTATGTACAATATGTCACTTTGCTACAAACATAACCATATAAATGCATGTGGTGTTCGGAATGAGAAAATGCAAATGACATGTCGGTTTTTTTGTTTTTTGGCTGAAAAGTAAGTGACATGTCGTTGGAAGCGGTTAATAAAGTGTCTTTTTTGTTAAATCATGGCGTGGTAACAGTCAACAGTCCTATATAATTTTATAATGTGTGCATATTATAATCTTTCTTTAGCTATAATAGAATATTAAAGTAACCAAACATATATAATTGGACCGACGTTTTCCACAAGTTCTATAATATAGATAGTATCAAAATAATGATCAAAATATCTTAGAGGAAACCACCCAGAATCATTTTTTGGACTTTTCAAACGTGCCGTGTTTGGAATGGGAAGTAATGAATAATCATACTACAATAATATGACCTTTATATATATAATCTCTTCAATCAGGACAGAAGACAACGTTATAGTCAGTCCAACCAGAGCATGTAAAAAGGTTAGTTTGATCATCTTTCGGATAACTATAAGCATTAGGACATCTATTCTTGAAAAACCTAGAGTAGTTGGTGGGTCCACAGTTGCTGGAATTGCAACAATACTGATCGGTCTTAAAAACCGTACAAGGGTTATTGCACCCATCGGATGCCCTCAACTGAGACGGACACTGCCCGTTGATGTCGGCGGTGCACCGGATCCCACGGCTGCACTCACTGGAGGTGGGGCTGAACTCCATTGGAACATTGAACCCGTCGACGAGCGAGATGTCGAAGAAGTTCAAGTTGCTGAATCCGTTCAGCGTGTACTCCGCGAGGGTGTTGGGAGCCTGGCCGTAGCCTTGGCACTCCAGGACCCCGCTGCAGTCGCCCGTCTGGCATCTGAATATCCCGCTGTCGTCGAAGCTGCAGTTGGTTCGGGCCCATATGCGGGCCGATGTCGTGCCTGGCGCCACGTCTATGATCCACCTCTCGCCGTGATTAAGCTTCCTCCCACCACCGGGGATTGCAGCGGCCCACACCGTGTAGCGGCAGTTATTAAGGATTTTGAAAAGGAAGCCACTATCACCGCTGGGATTGCTGGGAGGACTTCTGGCCACGTCTTCGCTTGAGCTTGAAGGGCAAAAAACGACACTGTAGTCAATCCCAGTTGGGCAAATACTTTTTCCATCATCATCGGAAGGATACGTAGACGCGTACGGACATAGATCCTTGAAAAATTTGGAATAACTTGTCGCCTCACAGATATTCCCCGAAGTGCAGCAAAACTGGTTGTTGTTAAACACTGTGCAGGGGTTGTTGCACCCGCCGGGATCTCTCAACTCCGTCGGACACGCTCCGTTTACGTCCCCCGTGCATTTGCTCTCTTGACTAGTGCAGGACCCAGTTAAATTACTGAATCCTATAGGAATGTTGAACCCCTCGACTACCGAGACGCCGACAATATCATTGTCGTTTGATTGATCTAGCGCATACTCAGCGATGGTGTTGGGGGCTCTGCCATTAGATCTGCATTCGAGACGCCCGTCGCAGTCACCGCTCTCGCATTTTCCGCGCCCATCGCGGACGAAAGCACAGTTGGCTCGGCCCCAAATGCGGCCTCTACCGTTAACATTGGTGAGAGTCCATGTTTGGCCCTGGTTTAACTGCCTTCCCCCGCCGGGGTTGGCGGCGGCCCAGCCCGTGTAGGAGCAGGTGTTGAGGATCTTTATTTGGATTGCATTGGAGGAGGCAAAAGAGAGAGTCAAAATTAAAAGGATGGTGAAGATGCCGGTGAGATTTCGGAATAAGCCCATTGATATTGTAGGCGTGATTTTTCTTTTTCCTTTCTCGCAACAATTTTAATCAACTTATTATTTCTATATAGGAAAACCATTGGGCTAATTATTGTGGCTATAGTAATTGTGCGTGTCGAACTTGCTGGTTAAAATATGTGCGGTTGTTGACTTGAGAAGTCAAGATGTAGATGAACTTAATTTCCAACTTCCGGGGCACACACGGTTTCTAGCACATTTTTTGCCGTGCCATTTATAGTCTAAAGAATTGCCATATTCAAGCTGCAGGAAAAGTCATATTCTATCTAGCCCCCTTTTTTTTTTTTTAAGGATATATTCGCTTTCTTTTTCGTTAATGAATGTTGATGCTGGACTTCGTCCTCCTATCTTAGCCCGCCACGTGTCCAACATCCTACAATCATGTGATCATGGCAATATGGAAACTATACCCATTACAGAAGTGGAGGGTCCCACTCCCACCGTATGAGGAAAGTTGAGAATAAATAACTCAAGTAGTGTCACTACAACAACAAAAAAGTTTATTTATGACGATTAAATATCATCACAAAAGAGTATGTTGTCATCAATAATATTATATTTACGATAACATATCGTCGTAAATTAGTCGCCGCAAAAAAGTAAATGCAAATAATATATTTACGACGATAAAATTTTAAAATATCATCGCTAATATATTAGCGACGACTGTCGTCACAAATGTTCTATCGAATATATCGTTGATGATGACGTGTTCAGTTATATTTATGACGATATATGTCGTCGTGAAAGGGTTAGATGTCATCGCTAGTGATTTAGACTATTTGCGACGACTTTTTTTAGATTTGTTGTTGCAAAAAATATTTTTCTTTTTTTTCCTAATTTTCTAATAATATTAATTATAAATATATAAATTAGAAGAAAATTTAATAATAAAATAAATCAATAAAATTGATATTTGCTAATAAAATATTAATATAAAAAAGTCAACACAATTTCTTACATAGTAGAAGTACTGGGTTTGTCCTGCCCCTACAATGAATTTATTACATCAGATAATTAATCGTATACTTCGCTTCTACAAATTTATAAAGGGCTTGTTCATTTCACCGATTCGAGTTTAAAATTCAAGTTTTGCTACAGTAAAAAGCTCTCAGAAACAATCACATCTAACTTTTTTTTTACAGTAAAAAGCTTTTAAATAAAGTCACATCTCAACTCGAATTAAAAACTCAAATCAACGAACTAAACAGGCCCAAAGATTCTCATAACTTATAGATTTGAAGCGGTGAAGAAGGAACACTTTGAACATAGACCAACGCAAAACATTAACTCATAGCAAACAACCTTGTCAGTGTCGTTACAAGTATTAGAGAATGAAGCGGTAGACACATTTTGCATGGCCCTTTCCATTGTCTTCATGTGAAACACCTAAAAAGCCATGAGAGGAAGAGAATGTAAGTGGAAAATTCTACACTAGAAACTTCAGTTTGCTAACACTTTTTTTCCCAGTTCTACGGGTAAAGATGTCATGGCATGGGGAAAAATGTAAAAGTTTTGTTAAGCAACAATCACGAAATAAGTATCAAAGCACTTACTTGAAATTCTGGCAACTTCAGAGTACTCCTTTTTGGTAGTGGCAATGAAGGGGCTTTAAAAATCTTAAGACAAAAAATAGTAAGGAGGCAAAACATGACGAGAAAATTTTACAAATTCAAATGGAGTTTTAAGTACAGGCTTCTCTGTTTAATGGTCTTGCTTTGAATCTACGAACAGCTGTCGTCACTTGCTCCTATTCTGTAACACTCCTAGGCCTGATATTGATTAAATGACTTCGACGGCGGCGGACTTTGACGGCTAGATTTTGGGATTTTTTAGATGAAAAAACAAATAAAACTTATAATATTGTTGATTTTGAAGAGAATACAAGGAGATTTTGAGAGTTTGGGGTAAGAAAACCGGTGAGAGGCCAAGAAAGAGAAAGAAGTCGATTGGAAAAAATGGAGGAGGTTCTGCTTGTGGGCAAATAAGAGAGTTTTTTACAATGACAGAATAGAATATTTGCAACGACACTTACATTTTTTGTGACAACACTTACATTATTTGTGACGACACATGTTGTCACAAATATAACTAAATTAATTAGGGTTTAGAAGGAAGGTTCTAGAATTATTATTGCGACGACACCTATAATGTCGTCGCAAATAATTTTTAGGTTCCCGCCCAATTTCCCCACCTTTTATTTTACTGAAAGAATACAAAATCACTTATTGCGACGACACACATTAATGTCGTCGCAAAAAATTTTATCACCTGCCAAAATAATCCTTTTTGCTCGGGGGAAAATAAATAAATTAAATTTTATTTGTGACGACATGTGTTGTCGTAAATAGTTAATTATGTAGTCACAAATAATGTTATTTTGGCACTAAAAGTTCGCGCCACAATAGCTGCCGCCAAGTAAATATTTGCGACGACGTGTGAGTTTTTTAAAGATGACAATATTTTTCAGTTTTATGAAAATTTTTGCGATAACCTTTCGCCGCAAATATTTATTTATTTACGACGACAATTGTTGTCGTAAATATTTTCATCGTAAATAGCCCAAATTGTAGTAGTGTGTGCTTAGCCCTATAACTGTAGTGTTGGACTTTCGGGCGGCGGGCATGCCCGATGCCCGAAAATTTTTGGGCACGGCGGGCAGGCCCCTCTCGCCGCCCGAAAATGATTTTCTTCAGGCACGGGCTCGGGTAGCTCGAAAATGGTAAGCCCCCTGACAGCCCGCCGCCGTGGAGAAGCCTTCCCCCGCCGTTCGTTGGATTTTTTTTGAATTTTTCGGCAAATACCCGAAGCTGCCCGAATTTTTGCACGAATTACCCGAATTTTTTGTGACCGTTGCCCGAATTTTGGTGACCGTTGCCCGAATTTTGACCCGTGCCCGAAAAATGCCCAATTTTTTTTTACCGTTAGCCCGAAAATGCCTGAATTTTGAAAAAAAAACGGTCTTTTGCCCGAACCCGAACCCGAATTTTGCCCGAATTTTTGAACCAAACGGTCGGATTTTTATCCGGTGCCCGAACTGCCCGAATTTTGCCCGACCTGCCCGAAAATTTTGTAGCCGTTGGACCCGAATTTTTGGGGGAAAAATTTTTTTTTTTCAACCCAAAAATTTTTCTATAAATACCCCCCTCCCCCCAACCATTTTCCTCACCCCAAAACTCTCATTCTCTCTCAATTTCTCTTAATCTCTCTCAA